TCGGGCTCCTTTGCTTTCAGTCGTTGGACATTTCCTTGCCCTGTATTTCGCGTGGCTGCAAGAAATGCCTGAAACTGATTTTCAGTCATTCCAAGTATGCTGGTTCCTGGTGCCGGAGCGGCTGGGGCTTGAGGCCCAGGTACTGCGGATCCTGACATTCTCTCAGGTCGTGGAGTTCCAGCACGAGAGCTATCGACTGGTGATCCTTTCTCTGGTGTTACTGGGCTTGCTGCTCTCGAGGGTTCTGCTGAGACGTGATCTAGGGCATCGCTGAAGTCCTCCATAGATTCAAGATTTTGATTGTCGATGTCAATATCTCCTTCCCTGTCTGGGTTGAAGGATGCCGTCTTGTATTGTTTGGCGTCGCACTAGATGACGCTTTGTAATGTAACGATCCCCTTTTAGATAGTTAGTTCTTGGCGATAGGGAACGATACTTATCTTTTCTGTCTCCTTCTTTCTTTGTCTTACGATAGCTCTAGTCCTCTGCTTACGTTACCGATAGTACAAGACCTTTGTCTTCTATCGGAAACGCCTATCGTAAGCTTTCTCTAACTCGTCTTCGTGACGAGCACTTCTTGGCGTAATGATAACGTTGCAATAAAGATAAAGATCGTAAAGGTGTTTTATATTCGTTAAAGTAATAATTAGGAAAAGTACTTAGAACAAAGCGTGAAGAACCTATCTTCCTCGGCCGCATCGGCCTCCTTATATAGTGTTCTTCCCGCCTGTAGTCATGTGACCTAAAGTGGTCACATGTGCGAAACCAAATCATAACAAACTAGTCATGTGACCAAAGTGATCACATACTCAAAACCCATGACCTTATAGCGAGGTCATGTACAAAACTCATAAACCAATCATAACGCAATAAACAAGTCATATGACTCAACTGAGTCATATGCGCGAAACCCATGACCTCATAATGAGGTCATGTGCAAAACATAAATCATATGCGCAAGGCTTACCCGCAAGGCATACTTGCAAGCCGTACTTGTCAGGTGCACGTCCCATGACTCATACTTGAGCCATGTGCAAAAGCATCACAAATCCCACACATAACAAATCATATGACCCTAATGAGTCATATGTGTGAAACTATAACGTACCTGTGACTCATCACTATGCGTCACGTGAAAACCCTTTTCTTGCTAAGCCACATTCGTGACACCTTTGAACATTTTTATTATTTTTTTAAATGTTAATAACTCAAATAATAAAAGAAAATAGTAGAATAGAGAAAATAACTATTAAAAGTATTGACTGGTAGTATTGTTAGTCAAATGTGGATAGCTATTACCTGGGTGGAGGGAGTGGGCATGACAGCAGTTTTCTACTCAGTAAGTAGAAGTTGTCTGATAGACATTCTGAGTGGTTGGTCTCTCATTACCTATCAATGGTAGCAAGGATAGTGAATTATCTATAAAAGAGTTAACTGATGGAAATCTTGTAGAAGGGTTGAAGGGATTAGAAGAGGGAGCTGGAGGAGCTGAATTTTCACTATGATATGATTAACTGGCAAGCAATAATGAAACCTATATTACTGATTCACATGGAGATACCTTGGCAATACAAACTTTAAATTGACCGCTTTGTGTGATGTCTAATTATTCAAGTTTTTGCAGTAGTGATATTTGTCCGCCAACTCCGTGGAAATAAATTTCTAGCCACACTATAAACTAGAGTAGGTTCTCCAATTTCTTGACGCTCTGATGGGACAAGATAACTTATATCTACAGAATGCACAATTACGTGACCAATTCACACCAGCGATCAATCGCTCATGCGAGTGATCCTTTATGACGATGTATGGTATCTATCCATAACTTTCCAATTACAGTATGATAGTTCGACTATTATCGAGTTGACGTCAAAGGAGTGACTGTTTCTCAGGATGATCCTTCCAGTTCTGGTCTAGTACCCGGATCGCGCACATTACTCCCACAAACCATTGCTTCGGTTAGGTCAAGTGCCGAACAGTTGTACCTGTCCAGCGTTCATTGCAGCCAGGTATCTATTATAGTAAAGATGAATACTAGGGTCTTCTGATATCTTGCTGTCACTATGAAATCTCAAAGAAGAGGAAGCAAGTTATAATTACCAATTCGCTCTCGATTGGATCCGGAAAGGGGGGGAAGGAAACCGTGGCGATCATTTACCCTCCTCCACCACTAGAAAATCCTTCTCGGCTTCCTCACTTTTCTTGCATTGCTTAGGATCTGATTGGATTTAATTGTGCGGCTCTAAGCTTCCTTCCCTCGCCGTCAATTCCCATTGTGGTTTTTTAGAAATTCCGGCCTTGGACTCACTATGATACTACCGGTAGCATAAATTACTCAAATGAGACCCCCCCGCAACCAAAACTCAGCAGTAGCATGTGAGAATATGAAAAGAAAGAGATTTAGCATGGGGACTAACTAGTAGGGTGGGGTTCTAAGGATGAACAAGAGTCTGGCATAGCTGGTAATAACTCCCCGCCAGCTTGAATAAGAAACATTTCTCTTCCTTATCTTCTTGTTTATTATAGCCAAAGTTGTTTGTACGTAACATGATTTTTACTACCCCTACCCATTCACTGTCACCCGTTCAGTGAACTATGGAGGTTATTTTCACTACAATGAACAAAACTTGGCGGGATCCAGATCTCCTTGCTCCCACCATTTGCTATCCAGGGATTTGCCATTGCAACACCCACTTATAGCAAGGTGTAACAACTATACCGGTAGGGGTCTACCCAACGCACCCGGCACCTACAAATTACTTCAGGTTCTGATACCGGAACTCGCGCATGGTGCTGAACGGTACCGGTATGCTCTGGTATACAGAATTCCGAAATTTTCCCGGTCAGTTTATCGATGATATCACAGGTTCACCTGGGCGCAGAATGAAGGGAGGTACGGTATGTGAAGAGCCTCCCCCGCGGCGGAGATATCATACCTGGGATTGCTGCTGAAGTATGGGGTTGATGTCAATAATAGGACTTGGCGTAGGGGAGAGGGGAGGAGATGGAGTTGGAGAGTTCTTGCCGGCGGTAGCGTCGGGGATGGCGGAGTGTGTGGGTCGGACGCCGTTGCTTTGGAGTGCGAGAAAAGGGGGGGCTGTTGGGGAGAGATTGGTTCTATAGTGAAGGCTGCAGAGGTGCGGGTGTGTTCTTGAGATTATCCTTAGGGGTCGCTATAGAGCATTCTGGTAGAGTTAATGAGTTGTACAGCGGTTTCGTGATGTACTCTAGCATGTATGAAGTTGGCGGTAAGCAGGTTATATCATCCAGTTTTCCATCTTTAATTATAGTGTAGTATGGCCACCGGACCAGAGGGGCGATAAAAGTGCGACTCAATTCATAGTTAAGGAAATAGCCAATGCAAGAGCCACAAACAGAAAAAGAATACGGAAGACTTCCGAACATCACGAAGTCCAAATACAGCCAGAGTGGCTATTAACCGAAACCTTACTCTTCCAGGGTAAGAGTCATGCTTCTTTATCCGTCACCCAATCAATCTAGTACGAGGAAGCACTGTCCTAACGAAAACCTTGGCATCCAGTTTTTGGTTTTTGGTGAGTGATCATTTGTGATTGCGATCTATGTTACTCTCGACAAGGTCCATAAGATAGGATGGGAAAGGCTACGTATGATATGATATGTCCACGAGTAGCTAATAGCCGAAACCCTCCCCATAGGATACGCCCTTCTCTGAGTTCCTCCAAGGCTTCATCCTCTTGCACCACTCTTGTGCTTTCACCAAAGTTCACAACCCCTACCACTTATTATTATTATTATTATTATTATTATTATTATTATTATTATTTCCTCCCAGCTGCCCTCCTTCACCAACCAACCCCTCCACGCAGTCACTGACACCACCGGACCACCTCTCACTCCGCATCTTCACCAAAAGTCCTCGTGAACCTCAAAAGGATCCATACCATCACCCCCGCACCCACTAGCCACAGCCTACAAATTTCCTTCCTTCCAGCGCAGTAGGCTCCCGCCGCCGCACCAGGCTTGTGCCACCGGGAAGCTGAGAAGTCCGTACCTGATTCTGAAGCTGGCGCCCCGCTAATACGATGAGCTGGACAACCACTTCGGCCTGCCCAAGTGCACGCCGGCTGGGTACGAAATCCGCTGGGAGAACGTCACTTGCCTGAATATCATCACCCCGCACAGCGCAGGCATCAACGACGCCGACATTGATACTTGCGAACAATACTAGAAACTCTCCTTGTATCCTGCCGTTGTGCAGCAGCAGACAGAGCACGTCCATACCCTCCTCGTCCGTGGCGTGGCGACCATGTTCTAAATACATTGGCTGGATGGGAACGACGCTCATGCATGCTACCCCTGCGTACACCAACCACAAGATTGTCAGAGTGTTTATGGCCAAGGGGAGTATCATGGTCACAGAAATTTTGAGGGCCCACTACATTATGGTTTACTTCCAGATCACTAAGCTAGCATGTTCGAAGTTCTCAGGACTTGCACACTACAAGGAGTATTTTGTGAATACGCACAACCCTAGAAATCCATAGCCTTGGGGGCTGGGCGCGCTCTGAGACTGGGGGGTGTGGCTAAACTTGAGAGTTTGTTTTTGTCATTATTCACTTCTAGTGTACCCATCATTTTGGTTTGTAGGAGAGCTTTAAGTATCTAACTGGCTTAGTATTGTACTATATAATACTGCTCACACAGAGGATAGTCTGTGCCGTACTAGAAAAAGAACAAGTTCCTCTGTTGGCAAAGCTGGTCTCCTTCAATCCAGAGGCCTCGGTTATTCGCAGGATATGAATTTCTAGGCCGAATTACAACGCCCTGAATACTTTGAAAGGTAGTATATCCAAGTAGAAGACTGGCCACTCCTAATTCCCCCATATCACAAGCGGTATTTATAATTGTGAGGATTGAATTCATACCCTGACATGTGGATATGACAAAGCGAGTGACAACTCATGAGTAACAACCTTTTCAAGAACTGCATTAAATTATAGCGCCCCAGAGGATGCTCGTTTCCGAAAATGTATCCAAAATGTCATTGTCTTGCTTGATAGGATATGATACATAGTGTCTACATGTGGGCGCCCAAACTCCCATGCTCTAGCAATGTAGCAACCCAGAACCCCTCTCCTTTGCCCAACCTAATCTAATAGATTTTGTCCAATGTTGAACAGGACCCACGCTATAGTCCACAGCACACAGCAGCAAAATATTACATTTCCACAACACTGCAGTAAACCGATATCTATCGTATCAGATTCCAATCTCCATCCCCCCTCCCAACACCCCTTCACTCTAAGATATGATATGCGTCTCCAACCCCTAATCTAAATATGCGATCGCGGAAACTACCACATTCCATAGCCCACCAGGCCTCGGTTAGTAATAACAGTATTCACCCCTCTAACAGCCTTACCCCACCAAAGGCAGTGGCAAGAAATACACCCCTCCACCAAACACCCCACTCGAAGATTCGTAGCTTCAAGCTGATGCGCCAGTACTCCACAGTTGCAATTACGATGTTCCAGCCGCCCAGTTCCACAGCTTCCTCGTATACTACTCTTGCACAATATCTCGCTAGGATTAAGAATTGACGTTCCGGACCGGTGCCTGCTTGTAGGTTCTCGTCAAGACTGCGGGTTAGGTCGTTGGTCTTCAGGATGAGGAGGATAACGCTGGGGACATTGGCGAGAAGCTGGACAAGCTGTGCTAGGAGTCCCTCGCCAAGAGCTTCAGTGATAATTTCTTTTTCATTCTCGTCTCGTGGACTTGCTATGCCTTTTTGTAGCGCCGTATAGTCTCGCCCAGTGATCGCAGAAGCGAATAACGGGAATTGCTCGTCCGTTATCCCAGCGACTTCGCTGGCGTACTGTCTCATTCGGGCTTCATCACCATCGATTACGGCGAGCCAAAGCTTCGCGTAGGAGCGACGCATTTGCATTGGAATGTCCCGGTAAAGGCCGTGGTCATACAGGATGATTTCAAAGTTGGTTTTTCTCCGGCGACCAAAGATTCTCCTAATCCAGCTTCTGCTGTTGATATTTGGGTCCGCTAGGCGGATAGCGAGGTTACCGCCGTGTGGATCGCAATGAAGCGGTGCGTCCTTCCCAAAAACCATCTCATTGAATATCCGGGCGAGGGCAACAGAAACCTCCTCGCGAGAAACACCATTTGAGTCGAGGAAGGCAAGGTCATCTAAACGGCGTCCGGGGAGATATTCCATTACCAAGATCCGTGGCTTGGCCCATATAACTGGTCAATATTAGCTCACGCACCCGAAAAGTGGCATGCTTTTAGAACTACCGTTTGGGATAACAAGGGGCGTGTTTTTGACACCCTCAAAATATTCTCTGATCCGGAATATGTTCTTTGCTTCCATCTCAAAATTGAGTTCCTGTGGGAGACTAAACCCTATTAATCGTTTCCCCACAAAAGTAAAAATATTTTCAAATCGGGACATACGATGCTTCCATCTCATCACTTAACCAGGTCATAGGATATTCCGGGAAGAAGTATTTAATATTTGTAAAAGTAAACCTCGTTAATGCCATATCCAAGGGAATCCATTCTGCCAATGCCGGGTGTTGTAGTTTCACTGCGACCCTAAAAAATTTAATTAGCCCCCCTCCCCAAGACGCACCAAAAATAAACATACTCTTGATCGCTATCTTTCAACTTGGCCCGATGTACTTGGGCCAGCGAAGCTAATAACCACTCAGCTTCTGTCTACGTACAACCGATAACCGGGATGAAAAGGACTCAACCGCACCAGCTCCAATAGGATTTGGATCAAATTCAGAGAACAAATCTGTGATGGACTGTCCAGTATCGTCCAATATCATCTATGAATTCCGGTCAGACATGGGTAGGGTAGGTAACGCTCGGAATCGCACCTTTTCGATACTCTCGAAACTTGAGACTGGGCACCGGTCTTGTAGGGGGATGAAGGTATCCTGAACAACGGTAAATCAGCCATAAGCCAGATATATAATAAGATTCCGAGGTCCAGTACCGTCCACTCAGCGGGTAATAAGTAGCCCATGGCTGCAAGATGTTGTCCGAGCTTAATGAATATTGAACCGTTCTTCTCGAGAACCTTATAAGTCCTAGAGCACTCAATATCAGCTTAGACACTCCACCACCAAAACAATTCCTAACCAACCTCTCAGCGCATCTTTTATGACATTTCGCCAACAGCCCGTCACCGTCGCTCGGATCGAGCTCCAAGGATTTTAGAGTAACGCGGTAACTATAGAGCTAATCAGAAACTAAGGCCCAAAACCTAACATCTATCCCATACTCTACTCACTCATTAATACACAACGCCAGTGTGCTTGCGACCCTAGTAGCTCTTTCTACAGCCGCAACACTATGTCCCACATCCGGTGTCCCAAAGGTTACAGCACCCAGCGCCGTCCCAGCTGCCGCGCCCATCAGCATCTTCCCTCCCCTTCCTGACCTTCGAGAATACACCTTCGGGATTGATAGACACCGACGGCATGTCCATAAAACATTATTCCGGGGGATTCCCGGGAAGCTCAAGGCACGCATGTCCGTTTAGCAATTGAATGAATGAAGGAGGTTGCAGAAGCTATCATACAGCTTAGGAAACAGTGCCAAATACAGAGGGACCGAGCGAAGGAGGAGGTATGACAGCAGAAAGCTTGTGGGAGATAATCCCGATCTGAAAGGGATAGAAAGAGAATAGGTTGAAGAGGCCAGAACCTTAGGGTTAGGGGAAATTTACGACTTTTTTTTTTCGTTTGGGTTCTTCGGTTTCCCGGGGTGGCGCTATCCTGTCAGGTTTGACGTGAACCAGCGATAAAAAGAGCCTCATTGCGCGACCCTTATTCGCGGGCGGTCCCCAATTCAATCACACCACATCAATCGGTCCCACTAGAATAATAATTTGAAAATTGACATGAAGCCCATAAACCACCAAGCAAATGCTAAAGCCAGCACCAGTGTATACATACAAAAACAGAAATTACCCCTCTCCCATGTTCCCCAGTACCAACCAGCCGTCCTCCCCCGCCATCCAACCCCCCATTTTCAGAGATGGGTGGAAACAGAAAGGGAGTGAACCCAAGAAACTGTATGACCCTACAAACGAGAGGAAGATATCTCCCTTTTCTCACGGTAAAGAAACACATTTGGATATTAATTTATTTACTATTTTCCGCCAGCTGTAGTAGTGGTGCCCGTGGCAGTAGGGTTTGTAGCAGCCGCAGCTGGAGTAGGGGTAGCGGTTCCGAGGTTAGCGCTCGCCAACCTGTTTGATAAATCGATCTGGGTCCTGATAGTATTTGCCAAGTATGCCACAAGGAGGACATCTTGAATGTGGGTATTGAACATTCTCTCGACGTCTGCGGGTGAGACTTTAGGTGCCAAACTAAGCGTGTTCATCAAGAACTTCCCAATAGCAACAGAGGCCTGGGTATTTCCGGCCTAGTGCGGATTTCAGCACCCTCTCACTTCAGCCCTAAGGGCGGGAAACATACGACGACTCTAGCCACATATTCACTAACTCGATCCAGCATTTCTAGAACCTCTTCGAGTGCCTTCTCGAGTGCATGAATATCCGTAGTCACCTCGGCACTTCGATTTTCGCTGTTCTTTGCACTTGATATCAACTCCAATCCGCTCCTTTCAGCATCAGCATACTTAATTTCGTACGGAACCGGAACAAATAAACAGCTGTCGGCAAGACGATCCGGGTGAACACCGACAGCGGACGATATATAAGTCCTAATAGAAATATCCTGTCCGGGGGCGGTAGACATAGTAAGATGAACGGCAGGGTGGGGGAAGGTGCCATCGCCATTGGAGGCATAAAAGTTCTGGATAAGAGCGCTGAAGGTGTTGAGCTCTGGTGAGGTAGCATACCTAAGTATATAATTAGCTATATTCAAGGGCACCTGACATCCAGGAGCATCCGTCCCGAGCAAACATACCATCCAATAAGAACCTCCTTGGGATTCGCCTTCAGGTGGAGCCCTAACATAGTCTTGTGGTAGTCCATATCTACCTCGACCTTCACGACAATATCAACTAGTGTAATTTCCACAGATTATCAGCCTATGGAGACCCACCTGTTCTTGGCTCTCGTTGTGACCAACAGCAAAACAATTTCTGATCTCAACCTCAGCTCCATCTTCGTTCCTCACACCCAAAAGCGTTCCAATAACTCTCTCCTGGTCAGTATTCCTCCTTAACGAATGATCTAAGATGGAGAAGAGAGCCTGGGCACTAATAACAACACTTAACGGCGAGGTGGTGGCCTGAGCTGGCGGAACGCTAACGACAGGAAGCGGTCGAGCAAGATGGATGTAAGAATCTTTGTCGGCCATGCTGGGCAACTGGCTAGCGGGTAGTGGTTGTGGGGAGTTGGCAGTGAGGTAGGTTGGCTGGCTTTGACGAAATTGACCGATGGCGGGACAATCCCCAGCCAGAGCTTCAACTTTTTTCCATTCCTGTTGTGGGGCAGTTAAATTGGCTTGGCAGGGTAAGCCCTACTCAGCAGTTACCCGCTCTTACATCACATGCAAGAACCTAACTTTGATATTGGAGCCTGGCAGAAATTATTCCTTGTACATACGATTCCTACGAAATCACCGACAGAAATCCTGTAACAAATTACAAATTCAACAAAGTTTCTAAATGCCACCTGGACCCAGAGGGCGTGACAGAGGTGGAGGGGGGTTCAGAGGAAGAGGAGGAAACCGAAGAGTCAAAGGCGGTAGAGGCGGTAGAGGCGGTAGAGGTGGTCGAGGCGGAAGAGATCAAGGAAGAACCTCAATGAGAACTGAGAATCGACCAAAGGAGTACGTTTTTCCTATCAAACGGCTCCAATATATAATAGCATGGCCCCTCTTGATTATTGGGAACCGTTTTGACAATTGTGCAATAGAATTACTCAAACCGAGGAGCCCGATTCTAATTCCGAAACCTCCGAGGATCTCGAACTGCGCAATGGAGAAGATTCTGAAGACTTGGGTAGTAGCGACCCTGAATCGGAATCGGAAGATGATGCTGCAGCAGCAAAACCTTATAACCTCCTACTCCAATCTCTAGTCGCGAGCAATGAGTTTAACCGACACAATCCTAAACGCCAAAAACTTGATTTCACACAAGACCAGGAGGATGGGGTCATCTTGTTAGACGGTAAGGATATGGCAGATGAGCCTAAGCAGGAGGGAGAGCCCGAAGAAGAGATCGTGGATGTGGGCTCAGACAACGAGGATCAATCAGACCCATTTGAATCACACTTTACAAGTCCCTCCCCCGCTCTACTGGCTTCCATCTCCTCTGCTTCAAAGGGTGAATGGAAGGATACTAAGTTACCTAATTCCGGACTACCTGGAAATGTCTACTTATCCACTCCCAGAGGCCCGAAACAAACTACTGGTGGAAGAAGGATCGAAAGCATAAAAGACCTAAACCTGAAGAAGAGGCTGGTCGCTGAGGAGCTGACGCCGCTACAAAAGTCATTAGGGCAGCTTGTCTTCGATTATGTGGATGTTTTATATGGTGAACGAACACTAGGCAATGCTGAAGAATTACGGAGGATGTATTCTTTACATGCGTTGAATCATGTCTTAAAGTATGTTCCCATCTGTGTATTACATTAGCTTCACACTAATCGAAGCTTAGGACCCGAGACCGAGTCCTAAAGAACAATGCCCACCTAGCAAAAGCTACAGATAAGGAAATAGAGCTCAGAGATCAAGGCTTCACAAGGCCCAAAGTCCTTTTCATACTGCCAACACGAAACGCTTGCGTGGAAGTAATAAATGCACTAGTTGACATTCTACAGCCAGAGCAACAAGTAAGCTCATCCTCTCCCGATTAGATAGCACATCACCAACTATTCTATCTAGGAAAACAAAAAACGCTTTCAAAATACATACTACTCACCCCTAGATACTGAGCGGATTAGCCCCAATAAGCCTGAAGACTTCCGCGCCCTCTTTAGCGGAAACCATGATGACCTCTTCAGGTTAGGCTTAAAATTAACTCGGAAAACTCTAAAGTATTTTAGTCAATTCTACAACTCCGATATAATTCTCGCATCGCCGCTTGGGCTGCGTATGGCCATCGGTGATGAATCTGACAAAAGGCGCGACTACGATTTCCTCTCTAGCATAGAATTAGTGGTGGTGGATCAGGCCGACGCACTGCTAATGCAAAATTGGGATCACCTAGAGCATATTTTTAAACACCTTAATTTGATACCCAAAGACCCGCACGGCTGTGACTTTGGGCGTGTGCGGCAATGGTATTTAGATACTAATGCAAAATACTTCAGGCAGACGTTGGTATTCGGCGGGTTTGTGACACCAGAGATAATGAAGTTGTTTAATCATAATATGTTAAATGTTGCCGGGAAGGTGAAAACTCAAGCGGAGTATATAGGGTCCATGATTGATTTGGGGGTTCAAGTTCGACAGGCAATGCCTCCCGCTCCCGATCCAATAGTTTCTCTTACTAACTATTATAATACAGATATTCACAAGAATAGACCCCCCAACCCCAGCTGCAGACCCAGATACTCGTTTCGACTACTTCACAAAGGCAATCCTACCCTCCCTCCTCCGAAACACCTCCACAAGCACATTGATCTTCATACCGAGTTATTTTGACTTCGTTCGAATGCGGAACTACCTCTCCAACGCCCCCATACCCATCGGCGCTATATCGGAAGAAACCCCTGTCTCCTCCGTCGCGCGCGCGCGGTCACATTTCTTCACGGGCCGTCACTCGGTTCTACTCTATAGCGAGAGAGCGCACCATTTCCGGCGCTACGACATCCGCGGGGTCACGAGCGTGGTATTCTACGGACTGCCGGATAACCCCCTTTTCTACCGCGAGGTTGCGGGTGGCTTTATAGGGCGGAGCGTTGGTGAAGGGAGAGCCAAGGAGCAGCCGAAGGTGCGTGTGATATTCTCCAGGTGGGATGCTATGAAACTGGAGAGAATTGTTGGTAGCAAGAGGGTTAGGGTTATGTGTATGGACAAGGGTGACACGTTTGAGTTTGTCTGATGGACTTGGACTACAGTAGTTGTATAATAATAGTACGATTTAAAAGCACTGTATATAACATTGTAACTTGTTGATAGAGTTCAGTTGGGTCGGGGGTGTCGGGATATACTGTGGAGAAGAAACCCTCGCAATCTTGTGTATTGTATAATCTGTGCAAGAAAAAAATACATCCGCGAGCCTTAGGCCCACTTTCCCATCTCGCAATCCTCAACCATAATTATTTACTACCATACTGTAATTCCAGCCGTACCTTCCCCCGGTGAATCAAACCGCCAAAAAAAAAAAATGGTTCCCCCATCACTCTCAAGAAACGAAAGTGACAACCTAGAACCACCATCTCACCCCGATTAGCCCCCACTAATTCATCAACCCACTACTACCCTCCTCCGCAAAACGGGAATTAAGCTACTCACAGCCATGATAATACAGCAAATACTAACATACGGCGACAATCGCTCCCCGATACGCGCAAACTTCCAGAACATGCCGAAGAAGCTAGTAGACAAGGTGAGACAAGTCGGAGGAGAGGGAAGGGAAAACAGACATGTTCTTATCCTTCCTCGAATCAACCATTCCCGGGACTGTCTGGCGGACGTATGTGCATGTACAGATTAATAGGAGAATGACCAGGAGCAGGGCATCAAAGTGGAAAAGGGCGGACTGCATTTTCATTTAGCTCCCTCTTTGCTTTAAGTTTGGCGAGGCGGTGATGTGTAGTGATGGGAGGAGCGGAAGGGAAGGGGGGATTGATACCATCGTAGCTATGACAATACTAATGTGGGAACGGGATAGTAAGTACTGGTAGCGTGAAGAGCGGGGGGTTTACGTCGAGGTAGAGGCAGGTAATAGGTAGGTATCATATGATAACTTAAGCTTGAGAAACGTAAGAGGTCGAACGAGGGCAAAGGTGAGAGTAGGGAAGATCCTACCCCCCGAGCTATCACACAAAGGGTTGAAAGCTTACCGTATTTGTGTGGTTAGATCAGAAAGAAGATGTTGCACCTAGCTTTCTTTCCTCTCCTTCCCTCTTATGATAACAACTAACCACAATTACACCGCCACAAGGGATCCTGACAGCGACAGTTCCTCCTCCAGCGCCACAATGTCTAACCACACCACGAAATTCCCAGCCATGGCTAGAATACCAACCACCCCCTTATCCTCCCATCATCACACACCCAAACGTTCAACACCAGCACACAACGCAACGAAAAAGATGGCCACCGACGCAGGAATTCGTCGCCCGCGTACCCGGCGTCAACATCTCTTCGTTAAAGAGCGTCAGCTTACTCCCACCCTTCTTTACTCCCAGCTTAAGCTAATCTGGCCGTGGGACAGTCAAGTCCTTAATGTACGCCTTCGGTGACGACCCAGACCCACTTCCGGAATCGGTTCAGGTCCTCGATGAGATTGTCACCGATTACATTATCGATATGTGCCATGACGCGGCAAGGATGGCTTCCAGGGGTGGGAGGAATAAGATCAAGGTGGACGACTTCAAGTTTGCGCTCAGGAAGGATCAGAGGAAGTTGGGAAGGGTGGAGGAGCTGTTGATTATGTCTAAGGTTATCGCCGATGCCAGGAAGCAGTTTGATGATAAGCAGGAGGTTAATGATATTGCGGGTACTGGGAAGTAGTGAGGAGAGGGCGGAGGACGAGAATGGTACAAAAATTATGGGTGTATTATTATGATGAGGTGTTTTGCGGGTTATTTCATCGTGATTTCCTTACATGAAAGGGGTTTTCTTTTGTGGGATGACCGGTTTGTTTTTTTTGACCCTATGTACAACATACCATACATGCTATTATGATACAGATACAATACTCTCTCAAATCTAATTCTTTTTATTTCATTCCATCACCAGTTTTTTGCTTTTGCACCTCTAACCATGTATTCCATGCAGTTCCCCCCACTATCTCCCTGGCTATACCCGCAATGTGTTCATCCAGCTCTTCACCGTCTAACTCTCGCTTCGCCACAATAGCCTCCAAGATCATGAATACCCTTGCCCGACTATTACACACCCTTGCCACTGTTTTTAATATCCACCCCGATAGATTTGGCCCCAACTTATGCCCCTTCTCTTTATCGAATATCAGTCGTAGAAGTTCTTCCAATCTTGGAACACTCCAGTTGGAATAGCTTGTCCCACCGTGCCAAAAGAACCCCTTGAGCAGAGCCACCGAAATTGTCTCGTCATAACCGACTTTGCACTCCTCCATCTCTTTCACTAATTCCATTGCCCGGTCGTAGTTTCCCACTTGACATTGAAGGTGTATAAGCATGTTGAAGGTGATGATATCCGGCGCAAGGGAGACGTTGAACGTCTTCATGTAGTCCTCCACAACCCTCCTATTCATCGCCACCTGCTTTAGATTTCTTGCCCACCTTCTCTGGCCTAGGATATCATCTTGACCCGGCGGTTTCTCGGTCGTCCCAGAATCAAACAATGTTTGTCTCATTCTCTGGTATATGTACTCGGCGGACCCGTGCTCCTTCACTCTGATCATGGCTGTCATTACCGCATTTAGGACAACTGTGTCTACTACTTCCCCTGAGTCCACCAACTCTCGATATGTCTCTCTGACCTTTTCCCCGTCGCCGCAAATCCCATGGTAGGTTATCAATGTGGTGTAGGTAAACCTGTCGGGCTTTAGTTCGCGATTTTGCATCTCTTTAAGAATCATATCTGTAAGCAGCGGTGTTGGGGATCTCGACGCCACATCGAGAAGGACATTGAACGTGGTGGTATTGGCTCGGATTCCTCCTTGGTACTTCTCAGATTCGTCCCACAAAGCTATTGCTGACTGGGTTTCTGTGGTTGTGACATCATTAAAAGAACGGGAGATGAAAGAGATGGCTGCATTCCACTCATTTCGAGATATGGGCAGATCGCAGGCCTTCATCTGGTCCAGGATAGCAAGATATCGGGTTGTAGCTTCCATATTTCGTTCAGGGACTGACATAAACCTTGCTACCAACATGTCCAACTCCTCCTGATTTAAGAGGATAGGTCGAGGGGGAGGGAGTTTGTTATAGAGTTCGTAGAGTACGGTATGTGGGGTCTCGGGGTCGATGAGGTATTCGAGAAACTCCTCCAAGCACTTCTGCTCCCGCGGATCGTCAAGATATCGTGCAGGTAGTATTCGGCCTTGAGCTGCTCTGGCTCTTCGTAGATATGGCGGCACGGGTGGAGGAAATTCCAGGCGGCGACGCCAGTAAGGGTCGGCAATTGAGCGTAATTCATCTCTAGTCTCTTTCCATGATATTGGTCTATCATTAGGCCCACACTTGTAAGCGTCAGAACTTCCACCGGAGAGGATCAATGATCTCCTTGGTGGAAAATAAAAGCCAGTACGACCAACTAACGGGTACGTGTTGGAATGGTTCTTGCATAGACTTGCCCTTACCAGGGCATTGGCAAAAAAGGTATCCATAGAGTGATACTTGGTCCGAGATGCAGGAACTCGTTGAGGGAAAGGAAAGACTGAAGTTTTTTTGGTAGGTGGTGGGGTGGGGCGCAAACAGATATTGTGGAATTTCGACAGAGAACGACTGAAACGACCGATGTGGATGGAAAAGCAGATATTGTGAATGGAGATATAGGGCTTTCGAATACCCCCACCTAAAACAGCAATTGTACCGTTTGTCGAGAGACCCACTAGGTACAAGGGGAACATGGAGGCACAAGAAAGAGATGCATTGTGTATGTTTCTTAGACAAATTATGGCAGATTAATCAAACAATTGCTCGCATTGAGAAATCTGTCCCCAGAATTTTTTTTGGTGAGGGTGACCCAGAAGGAGAGAGTAGAGGTTATCTTGAAGAGAGGGTACGATAGTGGGGCTCGATTGCTTTTTTCCATTGGAAATACTAATAATAATCAATTTAGAGTTGGCAGAGCCTCAAAACAAACTACTAGACCCCAATCCCAAATATACATAAGGGCTACCAACACCAGGAACGATTTGGCACTCGCTAATCTGCGAGTCCTGGATCCTGGAAAAACACTTTTGAGAATTTCAATTACACCTTGATTCCAATTCGTTAGGTCTATCGCCTTCTCGAAAATCAAGTCGCGTCGCGGTGGGGCTCTGTTATCGAGAAAGCCTGAGGAATCCCTGATACAGTATCCAGAGAAAGCGCAGTCTCACTCGGGAGTGCCGTTTCAACCCCGCGCCTGCTCCTCTTCATCCCCTCACACTACCACCATGATTAATTTACGGCGCTTCCGGTCTTTACGAGTCCACCAGAATGCCTCACAAATGCTCGAAGCCGGTCGCCTCCAGGAAGAACCTGCCTGGTACCGTGTCGTTGGATCGATTCCCCCGACTACATCTCTCGTTCGAACAATTCCACCACGGCTGAAGGAACGGAAAAACCCATGGACAAAGAATCACAAACCAAGCCGAATGTATATGCCTCAAAAAATTGAATATCCTGAAGACAAGCTACGTACTCAGTTCTACAGAGATCATCCATGGGAATTGGCAAGGCCAAGGATTTTGGTGGAAAATGATGGGAAAGATTATCTAAAATGCGATTGGAGCAAGATGCTGCAGAAGGGAAAGCCGCTAGACGGTGAAAGGTCTGCATGGAGCATATTTCCTCTTTGTTTTTGTTTTCTCCTTCCCTCCTCTGCATTCCCCTCCCGAGTTTGCTAACTTGTTAACAGTGTGGTGCAGCGGCAGTTATGGTTAATGGAAAATGATCCGGACGAGATTACCGCGGAAAGAGCATACGACATGGCCCGAAAGGAGTTTTACGATCTCCGTTTGCAGGAGGATATTGAACGTCGTACCGCTATTGAGGAGGCTAGAGCGTGCGGAGCCACATTCGGAAAATCCTATCTGGAGCTCGGAATCGAGATGGAAGAGAAATATCTGGAGCAATGGAGGAAGGATACAATTGCCTTTATTCTCAGGAGACGACAGAGGCAGTCTACTTTCAAGGTTATCGAGTTCGCTTCGGCCGCTGCCGAAGAGGGTTTTATACCAGCAAGTGAGGCAGAGGAGGGAGAAGGAGGGGAAGCCGTCGAGGCAGAAAAGGTAGCAGTTGCTACCCCATAACCCTTGTTTACTGAATGCTGCCCTGGAAAGCACAAATCCGATCTATTATTGCTCTTGTAAATACTATATCCGAGTTTGTGAATATATTTCAAATCACTCTTTGTGCCACTCTCCCCTGGGGGTTGCGAGGAGCAAAGCGAAAAATGTTTCGACGCAGTCATTGTTAGCTTAGGCTATCATACTAGCTTAGGGGTGGGAGCGAGGCTTAGAATGCTGCTCATATCGGTGTCCGCTGAGAGTGCGATCATACTGGTAATAGTCTTAATGGAAATAGAAATGGCTGCGGTGCGGGATACAAGCAGTATTATGCTGCTCTCTTACACCGGCAGCCAGTACCGTATTCTACTCAAGTATAATAGTGTGCAGACAGTGTGCGAGTACCGGTACAGTACAGTACAAATACGTAGTTAATATTTTGAACGGACAGAAAGAGGTCATCACGATCGTTATACGAGTAAATGGACACTGGCGTCTTATTCCTCACCGTTATTGGATGAGACGCTGCATGACCACGATGTTAGTTAGAGGATGAGGCGCTACAAATGGTGTTGAGAGAAATGAATGATGATATTGATACCGGTACACTATTGGCACGGTATTGGATTGCGTGTACGGCCCCTGACGCTCGGTGCAACAACTTTTCTACACCAGCAGTTTTACATATAAGACAGCAGGTGGGCCAATCGACGGACAGTCACTGGATAGACAGAAGTGCAGAGAGCCAACCGGGATCATATAATAGCACAGAGTGAGGAGAAAGGGAAGTGGGAAAGGCGACGGCAAAATATCATTGCTGGGCGTTGATCCATGTTGGTGCTTCTTTCCTTCCACTAAAGGCTGCAAGTGCCGCAGTTCTCCGGCTGTCCCATACACTGCCTAGCGGTGACACCGAACCCCAGGAACGAAGAAAGAAAAGGGCCCTGCTGCAGAGTACCGGCAGTCAGAAAGCCCGTCGCTCCATTGCTCTTCACCCGCTACGACTCTCACCACCTCCTTCCTCTTCTTCAACTTCAACTTTTGCCCCCAAACAAAAAAAGATACGAATGAGGAAGAGGATAACAAGGAAGGAGGGGGAAAAAAAAAGTTCCATCAAAGAGCCTAGTGTGTTCAGCCATTCATAAGCTCCCATAGCTGGGCAGGCTCCGGGTGCTGTTACAAGTTAAGTTGAGACAAGAGGGTGCCAAAGGATTACCAGAATACAAAATAAAAGAGAAAGAAGAAGAAAAAATTCTGAGGAAAAAACAAAAAGGTGTTGGGAGTTTTTTGTGGTTGTCGGATCATTTGTGGCATTCTATTGTTCCTCTTGTATCCCATCGCCTCTATCCGACTTCTCATTCAAACAAGCATCCCCCTTGACCTGGGCGTCCGTTTATCCTCGATACAGTACCGTAGCCCACCGGAACAATTCTCCCGCGATGAACGGTTTCGAATTCTCTTCCTACAAGACATCGACTATGCGTAGCGACATTTCCACCATTTATCGTCCCTCCCCTACCTCGTCGCTGGCAGGCAATGTCTCCTCCGGCAACACCCCTGGATATCGCCAATCACCACCGGTCCCAATAGACAAAACAACTTGTATTGCTCTTGTCACAAACGCTCTTAAAGAAGCACGAGAAAAGAACCGGGAAGCTGAGCTGAGGGGGAGGGGCAACAACTCACCCGACTTAAGTGCACAGCAACAATTCTACCAGCGATCAGGAGTGACAATTGATTTGAGCCATCAAAAAATCTCAAACATTCCACTGGATGTGATTGAGCTTATTAAGGATGAGATTGAAAGGTCAGAAAACAGAAAGGCTCCGATAACCCCAATCCACAGTTCACACAAGATATATTCCCTACCTTTTTCACCACATCTATGCTATGAAGTCCAGTGGTGGAGAATGTTCCTGCCGGAGAAACATATTGCTCAGATAATGAGGATTCGCTAACGTCCTGCTTTCTGTGTGTGCCCTCCTTGCAGATTGGCCTTAGCTCATAATCAATTGACTTCATTCTCGGAGGAATTCTCAAGTTTACCTCGCCTTCGATATTTAAACCTCCGATCCAATTTTCTCAGAGAGTTCCCGTTGCCAGTACGATTGCTCTCGCTTGGCTTGCGCGCTCAAAACCAACAGCTGATATTCGTGTGTAGCTCACCAAACTGCCTTCACTTGAGATACTAGATGTTAGCCGAAATCGGCTACGATCGCTGCCGCAGGATTTTGGGAAGCTGATGTCTTTAAAGGTAAGAAGAACCTTTTGTTCATATGTTGTCCTCCGAACACAGCTATAAGGTTTCGGAGATAGGTTGAAACGTTTTTCAAGCTGATTGAGTGATCAAGGTCCTGTCAATGTCGAAGAACAAGATCAATGTGCTGCCAACATATATAGGGGACATGAACGAGCTCAAGATACTAAAGCTAGATCACAACCCCATACTATTTCCAGCAAAGGATGTTCTGGAAAATGGGGAAGCGGACCGGGATACATGGTTAGAAACTGTTAAACGGTTTTTGAAGAATCATGCTGAGAGGTCCAACCCAGCGCTGGATACGGAGTCTGGATCCAGGTAGGCCACTCCTTTGTCAGCAAGGGGCAATAACACTATTAAAATTTGACGCCAAGCACAAAATTGTGACTGACAAATGACATGTGATTGGGTGCAACTCCAGTAGCGACGAGGGTGGGGGTGACAATGACTTTTCTTCGCTCAACTCCACGGTGGCAAGAACCCCAAGCTTCGAATCGGAAAGGCCCGAATCCAGTTTGTCAACAATCAGACCGTTGAAGCTAGCAGGTGAAGCAACTATGCCAGGGTTTAATGGTCCCCAAAAAGGTAGCTTACCTCGAAGACCACCACAAAAGCAACCTACTCTTTCGCCATCACCAGCATTACCCACATCTACTTTAACGAGTCCACCTCAATCACTAATAAACTCTGGTGCCGGTTCCTCACAAACGGAAAGGTCGCGAAGTAACAGTGAATCTACTGTTCAAGCCCACCGCGGTAATCGGCGCATGGGCATGCTAGGGCCAAGAAAAACTTCTAACGCTACGGCTGCTGAGGGATTGAGAACCGTCGAAGAACAAAAAACCCTCAAACATCAACGAGGGTATTCTCACGATTCCGTCATAGATTCTGCTCAACGCTCTGCTCAAATGGGGAAACCAATTGATGGAAGCTCACGTAGCCCCACCGATAAAGAGAGGCAACCAGGACCCTACTTTCGCAGACTATCATCCCTACCAGAACATAAACGTGCATCTCTATCTTCCGCTCGAGTCGGTGAAGCTGCTCGGGGAATATTGTACGCCATGTCAACGTTGCAGAGGCCAATTGAGCAGTATGTTCAATCAGCTGGAGACCCTAACGGTGGCCCTCATCACAAAGTGGAACGTGTGCTTTATAACGGGAACCTGCATATTGGCTCTCTTGTTGGTTCATTAGAGGCCTATGAGGAGAAAGACGATGAGGCTGCAGTGGACAATGTTGTGGATGCGTGTTGCGCTTGCCTCGCTGCGTTCAAACAAGTTCTGAATATGGTTCAATCCGACTCGAGAGAAATTGGTGCTGGCATGGTTGGTGCTGATGCAAGATATATGAGGACATTGTTGTTGATGGTGTATGGATCATACGTCGAGATTCAAAGCTCGTATGATATTGTCAAGCCATTGATTGTGGGACAAGCTTCTGATAGTACCTTACGTTCTTATAACCCAGGCAATTTGATAGCCCGTTATCCGCCTAATTCAAATGGCAACCTTCGGCTTAAATCTGCATCAACTGCCTCGTCTACAACCTCTATTGCTACTTCCGTCGTTTCAATCTCACAGTCAGCGGCAATTCCGCCAGTGCTACCGACTCCTCGGGGTGACATATTCGCAGTACCCCCTACCCCAGGATTTCAATCCAATCTTTCACATTCCTCTGATGGAGGTTTTGATCATGACGAACCGTTATATGGCAAATTCCAGGCTGCCACTGCTGCTGCGCTTTCAACTCTTCCTATTATCGATAGGGAAATCAAAACGGCTGTAACCCAGAATCTACAACCCAGCACTACGTTGAAATTACGAGAGGTTTCTTCACTTTGCGCTACAGGTGCGGAGGCAGCTAGGAGGCTCTCGAAAACCAAGTGGGATGCCATTCGTGATGGTGACATTATTGAACGGAGAAAATTTTGGGAAGATACCAATAAGTTTACTAATGTTGGCTCTCTCTTTCTTAAATCGTTAAAACCAAAGTACTGATAAATTTATGTTTGATCTAGCTTGTTATCAGCATCGCCGAACTCATCAAGTCAGTGACCCAAGAATATGCCTTTCCGAGGCCCACTTTAGCCGCAGTGGGCACAGTAGTTCGACCAACGAAAGACCTTTATATCCTCATGAACAGCTCTTCTTTCCGTCACATGGCCGAATCTCAACAGCTTTCCCCCCATAACGGTGGATCTCTTTCTCCAACACCCTATTCCGTATCTTTTCCCTACCAGCCTATGACTGCTACCCCACTTTCTGCTGCCTTGGGGCATGCTGCGCAGGCAACAATGCCACAAGGCTACCCCGTCCACGGTCCAATGGGCATGGGCAGTGCAAACGGTTTCGGCAGCAGAAGCGCCACACTTCTTAGTCAAAACCACCCAACAATGACCAGCACGGTGGGAGAAATGGGGATGCAGTTCGGGAATGGCATTATGCCAGCTGGTTTAATGAGTCCTGGTGCAATCCGGGAAATCAAGCCCCAGCACTCGCTCAAGTAGCTCTTTTGAGCCCACTGCACAGCTGTTTGCCTTACTTTTATATCCCATTCCTAATTGGCCAAGTCTCACCGACCGATATCCTTCATCACTGTATTACTTCGCAACTAAGCAATAGGGCGCTTCCGTTGAATCCCCCTCTTTCCTTTATCTTGTTTATTTATGCCTACATAGTGTTGGAGTTGCTCTTTTTCTCGTCTATATCTCTGGTCGTCGGGCGTCGTGTTTGACCTTAAAAATGCTTGGGTGGGAGGACGATTGATATCTTTAGATTGGGACGTGCAAAGACGATAGGGGTGTTAAAATAATTGTCAATGTTTATTATACTATATTCCTCCGGGAAACGAGGAGGATAAGCAAAACCTATATTAAAACTTGTGGCTTTTTATATAGCGTGCTCGTACAAGAGGACTACGTAGATGCCACTAGAGAAAATAGCTCATCAATAATCACTCGGGGGGGGGGGAGTCGTTAGGGATTAATGTATTGTTTGAGGCTGTGGGAGCCATATAGAAATGGCGCGTCGAATATCATAGAGAGGATAGATCTTCTCGAGATCCCCGAACAAGGAGGTTAGTGTCTTCTCAAGACTCGATAATTTATAAACATCCCATTACACAATTATGCCACTCCAGGGTTTGCTGTGTACTTTCTTCCTTACGCTATACAGCATACCTTTAAACTAAAATTACTCATATGAAGCAATGACTGAATGACACCCAAGCCAGCAGGTATCATACTTCTAGCCACGATCCTGCCTACAGCACCATACTTTTCTTGCATACTTTTCTCCCTCTCGTCTTGCCTGTCCATCCCGTAACTCCCGTCAACATCCCCCTTCCCACTTACTCACTCACCCACCCCTTTCTTTGGGGGTATGGCATATCATAGACCTAACCTACTTCTTAACATGCCTTTCCATGATCTTCTGATTTTGCGTCTTGATCATACTCTGTAGCGCTTTTATCTCTTCCAACTCGTTCTTCAGCGCAACGCCCAGGCGCTTGGGAGGAGTTTTAGGTACTCCCGCTATAGCGGATTTGTACCTGGGTGATGGGTCGGGCGGGGAGTACGAGTATTCTGGGAGATCCTGCTGTGACGCAACCGATGGAACATACATTCTACCGACTAGATTTGTCGTTGAATCTGACTGCATCTTTTTTGTCCCCAGTTTGGTTCTTTTTTTGCAGTGGGCGGGTACAGGTACTGTACAGTACTTTGCGTTGCGATGACAAGATACTACACATCACTATCTGCCATACTGGGTGATAAAGCATGGTGACACCCTCGGCGCTAAGGGTTAGGTTACCCGGATTGCCAAAAAGTGATATTTAAACCTCATGATATTTATTGCATCCTCCCTCCCTCCCTTCCTGTTCCTCACATATTTTTTTACACGATCCTCAACATACCCTTGCGATGAATTCTGTGCTTCGACGTCTTTCGCAAATTTTTGATTTGGGATCTAGATTGATAAGAGGCCATTCCTAATTCTGGGCTTTCACTTTTTGTGAATGGGAGTTTGGATTCGCTTTTGGCGTACAGTACATGTCTGCCCGCTCGGGTTATGCGATGTAGTTTTTTCTCACAGGTAGAGTAGGGGTAGTCGCAGTTTTACTGGGATTTGTGAACAGTGCTTGAATTGGACAAATTGAGCCGAGCAGTTGATGGATGGGCGTTGAAGTTGAAGATTAATCCTGAGTGTGATGCACCCGTAAAACTGCTCTTGGTTGAAATTGTTGCGGGTTACCAATGATATCCCACTTCCCACCCCCCGCGTGAGTATCATACCACACTGCGCCCAAGTGATTTCCCATGACCTCAGTCTCCTCTCTTCTAACAAATTCCTCATCCAATTTCTCACGGAATGCGTATGGCGGGCTGTGACGAAAGGATTCCTCTCCCGAGTACCAGCAATTTAGTAAAGCTTAACCATGCTGCAGAACAAACCGTCCCACCACAACCCTCCTATATCCGTACCAGAAGCGCTGCCTCGGCCTTGAGTATGCTCGGAAACCTTTTTTTCTTTCAGGGTGGGTAAACATTGTGGCCGCTGCTTGTGCCATTGCGGAGTATCCTTCTCGCTCATGAAGCATCGGCCGAGGTCTGAGGGCGGCGGTGGGTTGGACCAAAGTTTGATCTGGTTTCTGGGTATTGGGTTAGGATTCCAAGTGGATGACGGGTCTCGGGTATCATACGGTGGTTGGGACAAGAGTATTCGATAAGGGGGGTTGTGTGTCGAGGGTAGCCATGACTGGGAAACAGATCTAAAGTAAAGGCAGAGGAGCTATCGTGTATATACATTGCTGGATGCCGCCTGGATGCTAGGAACTGTGCATGGGCTTAGGTGGCTTATGGTTTTTCGCCCACGGATTTGTCAGGAAAAGGTTTACATTTATATCTATCGATTATTTGACATACTGGAAAGGCTGACAGGGTTCTACCCCCAGTAATGGAGCACTGGACACGCCTGTTGATGGTGGGACTGTAGAAAACTCGGCTGTTCCAGGTTACTGTAAAATGAATATCATAATACCTGGAGTATTGAGTGCGTCTGGGCGTATGCCTGGATGACAGGCTGAACAACTCGATATATTGGTGTAGAATTGGCGTAGAATCATATAGCGAGGTATGGTGGCCTTCCAACGACATGCACAGTCACTCGAGGCCACAATTTCCTAGACCGGATGAAACCCCGGAAAAAGAATAATCCGTCGTATTTGTGCCTATCCGCCCTACATAAAAGTTCCCCCCCAAAAAATTGCAGACTACCTTGCATGCCCAGGAAAGTTAAAGTCTTAATTATCAAAGTGTAGATCCTACTTGAAGAAGAAACTGCATCGTAGAAAAAAAAAAAGAGAAAGTCCTTAAATCCAGAGTAGTTGCTGGCGGTGCAGACATCTATCTCTTCGTCTAAACTTAGGGGGCGGCGGTACTTAGACAAGGCTCCGAACCAGTTGGAGGAGCCGCTTTCGCTTCGGGGGAAAGAAAGGACTCCCCAGACCACACGAGCAATCACGATTCACAGAAAACGCAAACACCCTTTTTTGACATCTACTTTTCTTTTGCTTGAACACGGGCTTCTTCTGGGCCGGTGGATTGTTCTCCTCTGCTCTATTACATACTCGTTTCAGGGGGGGGGGTTTTCTTCTTGCCTTTCTATTCTCCTTCGGCTCGGACTGCTGGCATCGCCGCTGCATCATCAACATAATCGGCAACCCTACTTAACGCCTCCTAAAAGTACTCGAGTATACCTACACCCATCGCAAACGTGAAAGACAGCGGTAATATCGCGAAATGTCAAAATCGGCGGATTTATCTTGGATCGATGAAGCATTCCCGGTACCCTCTCAGCGCAGTTTAAATAAATCGGTGCGAGATATTATAGGTGACCAATCCCCTATTTTTGTTTCTGATATTATTTTTATTTATTTCACTGCCATGGTTCACCCGGCAGCTGGCTAATTCCATGGGCAAAATACAGCGAAAGAGCCAAAGCACTCTACGGTTTTCCAAAACATCGGGAAATACATACTCTCACTAAAAGGCGCGGAAGAGCCACCCTCGAAGAAGCGGAAGATCGAGGGTGGGAAGAACGGCGTCAAGAAGGAGGTGAAGGGTGGGGACGATGTGGCTTTGGGGAAAGGGGATATTGTGATTACGGTTAAGGAGATTAGTTTCTCGGTTCCTGCGCGGAAGAGGTTTACTTTGCTGCTCACGAATAGCTCCATGAGCGCTGTTAATACAGCCACAGGAGCGGTGGAGTTCGGAGTTCCCTGGAACGAGATTCGTGAGTATTTCCTTCGATCAACCTTTTACTCTATTTAGAGGTGTGCTGATTCCCTGCCGCGCGGATTAGAATATGTTGCATGTCTCCCTGTTCCAGACAAAGCTGCGCGACAATGGAACTTCTGCGTTTTTCCTAAGGGAGCGGAAGGGCTTGGAGACGGGTCCGCGGATGCCTTTGTGTTTACTATCCCGGACGGCGCGCCCAAGACTGCGACTGGGGATGGAATGGGTGCAGGGCACGACACAAGTTCCTATAGATCCCTTCTCGTTGCTGTCTTTAATAGCCTTCTTGATAGGGGGATGATGGTTTTGGAACCGGATGAGAAGGTATTTTACAGCGCCGTCCCGCAAAGCCACAGGAAAGGGGAGAAGGCCTTTCATGTCAAGGCGCATGTTGGAAGTAAAGAAGGTAAACACCTCACTATCCTTGATTCCCCAGAGATAATGCAGACTAATGGTTGTGCGAATCAGGTTATTTATTTTTCTTGAAGAATGGAATTATGTGGGCATTCAAAAAGCCCCTTATATATTTCTCGTTTGCAGCGATCGAGTCGGTGTCTTATACCTCAATTACAAAGCGAACACTTAATTTGTCTGTCCACGTTGCGGAGGAGCGCGGCGATGCGGAGTTCGAGTTTAGTATGATTGACCAAGAGGAGTACACCGGAATCGACACATATATCAAGAGGAATCGATTGAACGATGCGTCTATGGCTGAAGCAAGGCGGGCTAAAAAGCATAACGTCAATGGGAAGGAGGAGGAGGACGGAGAAGATACGGGCAATCTACAGAAGGCTCTTGAGGAATTGGAGGACGAAGCGGAAGAGGATTATGTTCCGGGCAAGGGTAAGGACGATGGTGGTAGCGGGAGCAATGACAGCGAGGAGGACGATGAAGACGATGAAGACGACGATGAAGGAGGCGATGATGACGAGAATATGGGCAGTGACGAGGAGGGAAGCGTTGATTTAGAAGACGAATTGGGGAGTGAGCTTGAAGACGTCAATCCAGATGTCCCAAGGGCAAAGAGGGCAAAGAGATGAATTCTCACTCGATTATATAATATTGTGATGTATGGGCACTGGTATGTTATTTGATCGCGAGTGCAAGAGGGAAAAGAAAGAAGGGGATATGGGTCAAGGCAGCTTTTTTTGTACCGGCATTGTGCGGATTGTGATTCGTTAGTTATTCACATGCTGTGTAAATTAGAAAAGCCAACGTTTGGATATCCCTGCAAAGTAACCTTTCCACTGCTATACCGGCATGCTATTATGGTATCTGTCTCGGGCCCTCATAACATCCGGTATCTTCCCGCGCCCGCCGCTCCACCTCTCTTCTCCTTCCATTTCTTCTTGGCCCTCGACGACCAATCTATCCTCCCGGGAGCGCGAGTTTGCTTGGTATCCACCACCTCAATAAGCTCCCTGTTGATTTACTTAACATGATTAACCGCGAAACTTCGACTACCAATGAATTAGTTAGCCCACTCACCCCCCTGCTTTCGTAGGGGGAAAAGAAAAGGGAAAGTAGAAACTCGCTACCCACAAAATAGAAGTATAATTCCATCTCATCGACAAAAGCCCCACGTCCGCCACCAACAATGAGAACGGGCGAGTTCGCCTCGGTCGGGTGGAGTACTCCCGTGCACTTTGATAGCAACCCAATGGTTTCCCACTTGCCAGAGGCCTGCATGCTCCGGGTTATGTCGCCCCTTCTGTGAGGGCGGGCGGCGGCTTCGAGGGGGTATTTCCGCTGTGAGAAAAATTAATGTCCTGGGGCGGAGGGTGGAGTGTGTGTTGGTAACTTGTTGTAATAGCCAGTGGAGGAGGAGGAGGAGGTACGAGTATCATAGTAGGGATGTTTTTAGGAATGTGAAGTTTTCCGCGGCTAGCTTTAAATAACGGTGTACTGTACCAGTATCGGGCTTGATCGCGTGTCGGTTACTGTTGAGGAGGGTTCTGGCGGGCGGGGGATCGAGAAGACTCGTTGGCGGGGTTGGGAGTGGAGGTAGTGAGGGCGGGTGGTGGATGGAGCTGCCATTTCGTCTCTTCGTTCGTTTGACGGATAGAGGAGTGGTGGTGATTGGTGGGATGTATAGTACCGTACTCGAGTACTAGTACAGTATGTCCCTATGGCATGGTGGATTGTGGGTGTGCGTTGGGAGGGTTGGGTGCCGGAGTTTTTGGGTGAGGCTTGAAATAAGCTTTGTCGCGCAGGTTGCAGGGAGTGGTCCGCGCATTATTGTCTTGGAGATGGGTGGTGGTTGTCATACTGTACTCGAGTAGTCTACTGTACGAGGGGGGGGGAAAAGTAGTGCGACACAGTAGCAACCACTTCCCACAAGATCGCAACTCTACTCCCAACCCCCATCACTACAATACTCACTATATCCCCCACCACCTGCCAAACCATTTCAGAAAAGCACTATGAGGGTAAAGGGAACCCGCAGAAGTGAGCGTAAGTAGTTTAATTAAATGAATATGTATATAAAGTTGAAATAATAATAAAATTAAATGATTTAGCAATTAGTCTACAAAATCTTGAGTGGCGGCGATTGTTGATGAAGAAGCAACAGCGTGTCGAGTGGGAAACCATGCGTGATGACTGGATCCGTATTATTGCTCTCCGAGAAATAGCGGAGTGGTCTTTCAGAAAGATAGCTGCTGAATTGGAGGAAAAAATAGGCCTTAAAGTTCACCATAGTACCTGTGCTCACATCTATCAACGGTATCGGGAAACTGGTAGTCCTTCCAGCTACCAGCAAACAGGAAGACCTCCAATCTTCCAGGAGTCTGATCTACTTGATCTAAAGTCATTTATTAAAGAAAATAAAAGAAATAGAAGATTCTCTTGGGAGGATATTAAAGAAGAGAAGGGATTAAAGGCATCATCCAGGACAATTAGGAAGGCAGCTAAGAGTCTTAATTTAAATAAAAGAAAACCACGCAAGAAGTAAGTACTTTAATGAAGATTCAAGTGTTTACATAATTAAAAGATATTTTAGATGGGGATTGCGCCCTAAAAATATACCAATTAGATTTGGTTGGTGTATGAGAAAAAGAGCTTGGAAACTAAGAGACTGGTCCAGAATCATATGGACTGATGAAACCTCATTCTCTACAGCTGGATTTGGGCAGAGAGGATGGGTGATAAGAGAACCTTTTGAGGAATATGATCAGGATTGCATTGATGAGGTCTGGGAGTCAGGAAGGGAGACAGTTATGGTATGGGGAGCCTTTTGTGGGGATTTGTCACGAATATGGCTTGGCGAGGAAAAGGTTTTCATGTGACACATAGTTATGAGCTACAGGTATGTTATTGTTTCACACATATGACTCATTCGAGTCATATGATTTGTTATGTGTGGTTTTTGTGATGCTTTCGTACATGGCTCAAATATGAGTCATGGGAGTGTGCCTAGCGAGTATACCTTGTGAGTGTGCCTTGCGGGTAGGCCTGGCGCATATGATTTATGTTTTGCACATGACCTCGTTATGAGGTCATGGATTTCATGTATATGACTCAGTTGAGCCATATGACTTGTTTATTGTATTATGATTGGTTCATGAGTTTTGCACATGACTTCGTTATGAGGTCATAGGTTTTGAGTATGTGATAATTTCGGTCACATGACTAGTTTGTTATGATTTGATTTCGCACATGTGACCACTTTGGGTCACATGACTACAGACAGGAAGAACACTATATAAGGAGGCCAATGCGGCAGAGGAGGATAGGTTCTTCACGCTTTGTTCTAAGTACTTTTCCTACTTATTACTTTAACGAATATAAAATACCTTTATGATCTTTATCTTTACTGTAGCATTATTGTTATGCCAAGGAAAGTTCTTCACGAAGAAGAGTTAGAGAAAGCTTATGATAGGCGTTCCTGATAGAAGACAGAGGTCTTGTACTATCGGTAACATAGGCAGAGGCCTAGCGCTATCGTAAGACGAAGAAAGAAGAAGAAAGAGAAGAGAAGTATCATTCCCTATCGCTAAGAACTAACCATCCAAGGAGGGATCATTACAGGATTTAAGGTTAAAGCTAGTGGTAGTACCAGGAAAGGTTAAAGTGGATTCTTATGAGTATACTGGGTATATTCTGGATCCAGTTTTAATTCCTTTCTGGCATGAGTGTTGTGAGAGATTTGGTTGGACTAGGGTTGTTGAAGATAGTGCACCAGGGCATAAAGGGTAGGTTCTACCTCCTTATCATTATTGTATTTTCTGTTTTTTGATATAGAAATACTTACTTAAGAATATAATCTAACTACTGGTTTAATCACAGATATTCTACAAAGTATAGAAAAAGGAATGGGGTGGATATATTGCCCTGGCCACCACAGTCACCAGACCTGAACTTAATTGAAAATATTTGGAGAGATATGGAAACTTACTTGGGGAAAAGGTATGGAAGAGTTGCAAGCAAGGAAGAGCTAATCAGAGCTGTGGAGGAAGCATGGAAAGCTATTCCTGATGGAAGGTTTATGGATCTTTGCAGAAGTATGCCAAAGCAGGTCAGAGAGGTTATTAGAAGAAAATGGCACCAAACTCATTATTGATTTATGATTTTCTTTTTATTTTACTTTAAGGAAATACTAAGCATTTTTTAATTTTATCTCCTTTACTTATTTTATTTATTGAATGTGGTTGTGGAAAATGGTAGTACTATATGTTGTTGATATTGTTTCAGTACGGGAATTTGTGTTGCACGGGTGTCGCATTACTTTCTTCCCCCCCCTCGTACAGTACTGTACTCGTAGTATCATACGGTAAATCTCCTGAACCACCCACCCAAAAATAACAGGAATACGGTATGCGCACCGAGGGTCAGTGGATACCCATTTCTCCAGAACGCCTAGGGCATCTCCCCCCACGTTTTGCCGGCCGGGCATCATGAGTCGGGGCATTTTGTTCGACTATACCAAGAGTGCCGCAGCTTGCGTTGGAACCAATCCGAATGGGAGATACTACCGGTAGACAAGATTAAGTTACCTGATATTTTGCGAGTCCGCCCTCTAGAAATGTGACGGGCGGTAGGATAGGCATATCATACTGGTTTGTGCGTTACATCGTGACGGAGTGCGTTGAAATTCTAAACTCTAAGACTCCTTCGTCGCATGAGAATGCCGGGGGGACAGTTCAAACTTTCTTGTCTGCAATTGTGAAGTATTCGATTATTCATTATCGTACTTCAGTATGCTTTAGTCTGACTTATGTCTTCTCGTTCGTCAGAAGACAGATGACCAGAAGTCGGTTGCCAACAAGTTACCCTATCGGGAGGATAAATTTAGGTGCCCCTTGTTGTCTCAAACCACTTCTCAACTCTCAGCCTCACTCTGGCGTGTCGAGCGCTGCCGATTGCATGTCCATTGAGCTCCGTCCTAGAACTCTAACACTAGCTATCAGCTATATTCGGCGTATCGCGAATTTTTATTTAATTATCATACCGCAGGTTTGGTCCTCGCTGTTAAGGAATATCCCGCCAAGATTTGACATTTGGTGGATTTAGCCCGACAAGACCTGCAGGTCAAGTGAAAGTATATCAACGGGGACCGAAGAGGCTGCCGCGAGGAAAAGAGCAAGAGGGCGGATAGAACAAGACGAGGGGTAGATCAGGTGGAGGAACCGAGTAAGTACAGCCCTTATAGGGATTGTTTGGGAGTCTGATGTTAACAGCTAGTGCCCCACGTGCAGTCACCGGGGGTAAAGATTTGCCCCAGATTGAAATTGAGACGAGGGTACCTTCCAATCGCGCCCAAGGTCTGCTGTGCTTGAGCGGTACGGGTCAACGGTGACCCAAAAAATAGACTGGGAAATTGACTTCCGCTTCGACGAGTTCATCTCAAGTCACGAGTTCTGTTCAATCATAGGAATAGGGGAGGACTGGGGCCTGAGCACCCGCACATCCAAATAGGCAAGGGGATTCACAATAAATTAGAAGTTATGTATCGGCGTGCATTGGCCGCCGGAAAAAAGATGCTTGGGGGAGACAATCAGGATAAATTACAGAAGGTCACTGGATTGGGCGTGGCGCTGCATGATCAGAAAAAGTACGATGAAGGGGAGATTATGCATTGGCATATATTAGCGGATA